CTCTCTTGACATCAACAAAGCCTTCCTAGAGGGCAGTCTGCACGAGGAGATCTGGCTGTGCCACCCACCTAGCTTCACTGGGTCGTTTCCTGCAGGTACCCAGTGGAGCCTCCGGCGTCCAGTCTACGGTCTCCGTCAGGCGCCTCGCGAGTGGCACGACACACTGAGGACGCCGCTTGCGGCTCTTGGGTTTGCTCTTTCGACTGCTGACCCGTCGCTGTTTCTACGCACCGACACTTCTCTGTTGCCGTTCTACATCCTTGTGTACGTCGACGACTTGGTCTTTGCCACTGCTGACACTGCTGGACTGGCCTTTGTGAAGTCAGAGCTGCAGAAGAGACACACGTGCACAGATGTCGGTGAATTGCGCAGCTATCTTGGCTTGCATATCACCCGGGACAGAGCACAGTCCACCATGGTGCAGCAGGTCCTTCAGCGTTTCGGCTTCGCGTTCTCCTCGCCACAGTCCACTCCTCTGCCTACTGGTTACTCCCTCTCAGCTCTGCCTTCGGATGAGTCCGTAGAGCCGAGTGGCCCGTATCCAGAGCTTATGGGCTGCCTCATGTACCTGATGACCTGCACTCAACCTGACCATGCCTACCCTCTTAGCATCCTGGCACGCTACGTTGCGCCCGGGAGACACCGACCAGTGCACTGGGAGGCCGCTAAGAGGGTGTTGCGCTACTTGTGCAGTACGCCGGGCATGGGGCTCGTGCTTGGAGGACGGGCTCGAGTTGTCCTCACTGGTCACGCAGACGCTTCTTGGCTTGATGACCTGGCTATGCAGCGGTCGTCACAGGGTTACACTTTCAGCCTTGGCTCCGGCTCTGTTTCGTGGCGGTCTACCCGCTTGTCTTCTGTTCTCAGTTTCAATTGTGAGGCTAAGATCTACGCAGGGGCCATGGCTGCACAGGAGTTACGCTGGCTCACCTACCTACTGACCGACTTGGGTGAGCGGCCTCGTTCTCCTTCAGTTCTGTACGTCGACAACAAGGCCCTGATTGCCTTGTGTCAGGAGCACAGACAGGAGCACAGGACGAAGCACATCGCTCTGCGTTTCTTCCTTGCTCGAGAGTTGCAGCAGCGTGGACAGCTTCGTCTTGCTTATGTGGCCTCTCGGGCCAACACTGCTGATATCTTCACTTAGGCACTTCAGCCTTGTGATCATCAGCGTTTCTGTACTGTTCTAGGCCTTGTGCCTACTTGGCCTCACTTGCTCACTTCTTGACTTTGCTTGTACTGTGATCTATATGCTTATGCCTGCATGCTTACACTTGCTAGGTTGTGATCACTGTACTGCTTGTTCTGCTTTATATAACTCTGCATGTGAACTGGCCTTGTGGCCTTTTGCTTGTGCTCAGAATGCGTGGTGACTTCGTGATCCACCCTGAGCTTGCTTTGCTTTTCTTGACTGGTCTTGTGACCTCTTGTTCTCCCCCACTGTGCCTATGGGGGTGTGTCAAACTTATATGCTGTATCTTGTGTAGGCTGTAGTGGGGTAGCCCATATGGGGTACAACCCAATTAGGGTTAGTACTTGTACCCATCTTGCTGTTAGTCAATTCATTCTCGCTTATTCTTATGACAATGCGCGACCATTTGGCGAGCTTAACGAGACGATGTAACCTATTCGCAGGCCTCGCCAAGATCCCCTACCCCATGCAATCAAGTGATCGTGACTGATTGTGTGTGATTGTGATTGATTGAGGTGTTTGATGCAGGAGATCGAGTTGGGACGATCAATTGATCGCGATCAAATGATTGCCCCTGATTGCCTTAAATTGACCTCGCGGATTCCTGGAATTTGTTGATCGTCTCTGATCGGGGTGATCAGAGGCGGTCTGGGCCACGTCCTAATCCCTTTCCGCACTTACTGTGTCATGATCCGTGTCCGGCTGAGAAGTGTCCGTTTCAGCAGCATCCCTTGTACCTACGGCCAACATCATACATACTCAGATTAGTCCCGAGCGGGTTCTCAGGTGTAATCAACATGGACTTCCTCAACGTTAATTGGTCGTTGCTTTTTAGTCACATTTCTTACGCTGGTCGAACTAGTTAGGAAGTGACAAAAACAGAACCATCCAGTTTAGCCTCCCGACTTGGATATGTTAGATTAAAGTACGGAAATTTACGACAGGGCAGAAAAAAATAAACCTCTAGGAAACCTGGACGCATTTTCGGGAGGGATAAACCCTAAACACAGGAAAGGGCATTGTTTTTATGGTTGATGCCTCCCTTTCTGATTGGGTTTTATTTTTGGGTCAGGTGGGGTGCAATATATTTTTCCAAAATATTGGGCGGCTTCCCGTATTTTGAGTTGATCTGTCCTGAAATTCATATAGGTTCGCTACAGGTTATTTTTTTTTTAATTGCTGTAAATTTGTTCAGTGACTGTATACAGCAAACAACCGGAATAACCTACTACTATATCTAGAAACCGTGTTTCTGTTGGTGATTACACCTGAGAACCCGCTTGGGAATAATCTGAGTATGTATGATGTTGGCCGCTTGTACCTATCACTGTACCTGCCTAACGTTCCTCCTAGATTCCTGAACAAAGTACAGCAGCAAATCTTCCTTCTGGTTCCGTTCTGACATCACGAGAGAACATTCTGTCGGAATAGCATAGCAGCCCCTCAAGCTTGCATTTCGTCTTTGCGAAAAAATGAAGGGCGATAACGTTACTAAAAAGTGACATTCCCGCACGGGTGCCACAAGTGATTCTTCATTATTTTTCGTCTGGAATTCGCCGCTAACCAGCCGCCCGTGCCATGGATCATCGCGATCTTCGCCACGGGCTTCGCTAGTAACTCTTTTCGCACACCACCATTCACGGCGGCGCTGCCGAAATCGCATCATTCAACCGTCATGAGCCCCGGCGGCGGCGACGATGATCGCAGGGACGCCGCCGCCATGCTCGCGTCGCACAGCGCGTGGCGACACATGATGCTGGCGACAGCGGCGAGGCCGGCGACGCATCTCGAGATTCCGCGAAGCAACCATCCATGGCGCCACGTCGTCATAAAATCGTAGATTGGTTCGCCACAGAGCAGCGGCGGCGGCGGCGGCGGCAGCGGCGCGTGGCGGTGGCACGCGGCGGAAAGGAACTCCTCGTCGCCTCTCGCGCTCCTCGCCGTGCCGTTCCTCCTCCTCGTCGTCGTCCTCTGCTCGCTCTTCCTCGTCTCCCTCAACCAAGCCGGCTCCTTTGGCTGGGAAACCTATACCGATCCCAGCTTTAAAACCCGCGTCTCATATTTACAAGCGTATTACCTTTGGTCCGAGTCGAGGAGATGTCCATAACCCTGCTCATAAACTGGGATGGGTAAAAGCCCCCCCCCCCGATTCATAACTTCTGCCGATGATTCGCCTTCTGGTTCCTCCCGTTGCTTTGATGTGCCCATGGCTAGTGCTGCCACTGCTCATATGAAAATAAAGAGGAAGTGGGATGCGGGGAAGGAGGGGAGGTACCAGGTTAAGGGAAGGTGGATCGGAGAAGGGAAAGGGTGATGTCGAAAAAGGTGAGGCAGATGCGGGATAGCGAAGGCGGATGGGGGAAGAGAAGAGGGATGCGGTGAAGGGGTAAATGTATGGGTGAAGGGAAGGGGGATGGAGGAAAGGGAAAGGGTTTAGCTGGGAAGGGGGATGGGGGAAAGGGAAAGGGGGATGCTGGGAAGGGGGATGGGGGAAAGGGAAAGGGGGACACTGAGAAAGGGGGATGAGGGGAAGGGAATGGGAGATGGGGTAAAGGAAAAGGGGATGTGGTTGATGTGCTAGTGCTTCACCCGCCGCACAGTTGAGACAGAACCCCTTCACACTCACAGGGTGTGCCTTCCCGTCCCCTCTGCTCTCGATGCCTCTCCTTTCGTCCCCTCCCGTCCCATCATCTCCTCTCTCATCCCGTCCCCTCCTCTCTCGTCGCGTCCCCTCCTCTCTCGTCGCGTCCCCTCCTCTCTCGTCGCGTCCCCTCCTCTCTCGTCGCGCCCCGTTCTCTCTCGTCGCGTCCCCTCCCGTCCCTTCCGGTCTCGGCGCGATTCTTCCCGTCCGCGACGGCGACGGCGCTCGCCTTGCTGCCTTCCTCTCCGCTTCCGCCGATGCCGCTCCGCTACCGCTTCCGCCGATGCCGCTCCGCTACCGATTCCGCCGATGCCGCTCCGTTACCGATTCCGCCAATGCCTCTCCCTCTCCGATTTCGCCGATGCCTCTCCCTCTCCGATCCCTCACTGAGATGGGGGAAGGGAAGGGGAATGCGAGAAAGGGAAAGGGGGATGGGGAAAGGGATAGTGGGATGCGACGGATGTGCTGCAGCAGCTGCTGCACCACTGAGACAGAACCCGTTCACACCTGTTCACTTGCCGCGACCCCTCCCGTCAGTTATCGTGCCTCGTCCATCCAATTTCGGCGCGTCTTCTCCCATTTCGTCCCGTCGCGTCTATCCCGCCCCTTCTCCGTCCCGTCACGTCCTGTCCAGTCGAGTCCCCTCCCATTTTGTCGCGTCCCATCCCGCCCTGTCCAGTCCCCTCGCGTCTCGTCCAGTCCCCTCGCGTCCCTTCCCGCGCCGTCGCGTCCCTTCCCGTCCCGTCGCGTCCCTTCCCGTCCCGGTGCGTCCCTTTCCGTATTCTTCCATCCGTCCTATCTCGTCCCTTGTCGCGCGTGCGGATATGCTAATGCTATGCTATCACTTCCCTTCCATTACTTCCGCTTCTTCCTCATGGGCTTCGCATAGGAATTAGCCGTACGACCGGACATTATGTTGTCCCGCCCGAACACACTCAGATAGACATGAGCATATCGACGAGCCTTGACTCGGCTCGACAGGCTCGGCTCGGGTTACCCCCGAGCCGAGCCTTTTTTTTTTTTCCCTCTGTCTCGGATCGAGCCGAGTCGAGCATGGCTCGCCGAGCCGGCCGAGCCGCTCGGCTCGACAAAGCAATTTCGGCGAGTCAGGGATGGCTCGCGGGTCAATTTGGCTCGTCGCGAGCCTTTGAATGGCTCGACGTTCCTATGCGAGCGAAAAGTCGGGGGTCCGAGAGCTTGAATGTAACTGATACGTTCGTTCCTGTCCGTGAATCGCGTTTTGCTAGTGGTAACAAATTCCTGGAACGGGATACTAATCATCCCTAGATCGGGAATGCACATCTCATCTGGGAGGGAGATGCACGGTTAAAGCTCGCGTCTCATATTTACTAGTGTTTAACACTTGGTTGGGAAAGTAAGATCCTGATTGGTTTACGAGTGACGAGTTTTTTGACGAGCGGGGGAAATACATGCGCGAAGTTCCAAAGTGTTGAGGCCAACACAAGAGCTCAGGGGCAGGTTTGGGTCACATCCGAACCTCTTGCGTGACAGGTTTGGGAAGTTGCACTTTGTGCGACCAACAATGACGATGGGAACACAGATTGTGCAAGGGAGTGAAGTGATAGGGAAAAATCAAGCGCCAAGGTTAGCACTCCAGCCCTACCTCCTTACACGTAGTAGAAGCATTACCACTCCATTAGTAACCTAGCTCCTATCCAAAGGCGTCAAAAGGACAAAGAATGTCACGTAACAGGGGTGAGCAGCAGTAGCGCTCCCCTTTGCCTATGCTTATGATTAGGTAATAGCCGTCATCTTCCCACCACCCGACCTCCGCTTCCCCGCCACCCCATCTCCCCTGCTCGCCGACCGATCTCCCATGCAACCCGCCCGAGTTCCCGTTCCCGCGGCCCGATCTCCCATTTCTGCCGCCCAATATCCCCTTCTCGCCTCCTCTCGCCTCCCCGCGCGTGCTCCTCTCGCCTCTCAGCGCGTGCTCCTCTCCCCTCCCAGCGCGTGCTCCTCTCCCCTCCGCGTGCGTGCTCCTCTCCCCTCCGCGTGCGTGCTCCTCTCCCCTCCGCGTGCGTGCTCCTCTCGCCTCCCTGCGCGTGCTCCTCTCCCCTCCCCTTGCGTGCTCCTCTCGTCTCTCCGCGCGTGCTCCTCTCCCCTCCCCGCGCGTGCTCCTCTCCCCTCCGTGTGCGTGCTCCTCTCCCCTCCCCGCGCGTGCTCCTCTCCCCTCCGCGTGCGTGCTCCTCTCCTCTCCGCATGCGTGCTCCTCTCCCCTCCGCGTGCGTGCTCCTCTCCCCTCCGCGTGCGTGCTCCTCTCGCCTCCCCGCGCGTGCTCCTCTCCCCTCCCCGTGCGTGCTCCTCTCGCCTCCTCGCGCGGCATCCCCCCTGCACGCCCTCATTTCCCCCCCTGCACGCCCTCATTTCCCCCCCTGCAGGCTCTCATTACCCCCCTTTTATGCACCCGTTTCCCCTCTGCTCACTCTCTTTCACCCCTCACTCACGCGTTTTCCCCTCTGCTCACTCTCTTTCCCCCACACTCACCCTTTCTCCCCTCTGCCCACTCTGTTTCCCCCGTCACTCACCTTCTTACCGAATTCTCACTTTTCATTCACCCCTTTTTCCAATCCCGCTTCCCCTTTTCCATCTCTCCTTCATGCCTCCCACCACCTCTCCCTGCCTTCCTTGCTTCTCTCCTTATCTCCTTCATGCCTCCCACCATCTCGTTTTCCTTCTCATCTCTTGTGGGCCACATCACAAGGCCCGTCTGCCCTCTCACACTCTTCCTGCCATTCTCACTCTCGCAATCCTCACCGCCGTCCCTTCCTTCCTGTAACCAATCTCCCCTCCCCCCTTTTCCCTTCCTTCCCTCCACTTCCTCCCCTTCCCTTCCTTCTCTCCCCATCATTCCCTCCCCTTCCTCCCCTCCCCTTCATCCCCATCCCTGCCCTTTCCTCCCTGCCCTTCCCTTCTCGACCCCGCCCTTCTACGTCACTCCTCGCCTTCTGCCCTCCAGTTCATGTGCATGTGCTGCCATCACTTTTGCCCCATACATGCATCTTATTAACTCATGTTTACTCGCTTGTATTCCCTTTTCACCCTCCGTCCCTTCAAATCTCCCCTCACTTACTACCCATCTCCCTGCCTTTCCATCACACCTCCCTGCCTTCTCATGGATTTGAGGCACCATTGCGACACCAGGTGTCATACAACCTGTAATGCATACGCAAAGCTACAAGCTACAAGCCAGTATAGGAACATGCCAGTATTAGGGACATGCCTCTATCTATCCTTCTGACACTCTCAGTGTCCATACATCTTGGAAGAATATCTTGCACTGCAGAAAGAAAAGTACATATTGTGCCTTTGATATGGATATCTCCTACACTAATACAGTATCATGCTTGCATACAACACACAAGAAAAACAGGTGGTGGTACGGTATAGAGCGTGGACTAGCTTTAGCTGCGCCTCAGCTTGCTCCTCTGCTTCACCACTGAAAATACAGGGAGTGGAGTAGGCAGGAATAATTGTGTGAAGGAACATGGGGGAGGTGGTGTGAGGTGCCAAAGGAACAACTGCAAGGGAACACAAGCAAGCGCACATGATGAAAGCATGTGGGGAGACAGTGATGGGTGCACATGCATGGGAACTACGGTAGTGGGCGGGTGAGGTGTGAAGGGGAAGGGGAGGGCATGAAAAGGATGGGGAAGGGAAGCGCAGGGCAGGGAGGGAAAGGCAGGGATGGGGAGGGCAGGGTGGAACAGGGCAGAGGGTGGGGGGAAGGAGGGCTGAGGGGATGGGGGGAAGCAGGAAAGGGGATGGGGGGAAGCAGGAAAGGGGATGGGGGGAAGCAGGAAAGGGGATGGGGGGAAGAAGGAAAGGGGATGGGGGGAAGCAGGAAAGGGGATGGGGGGAAGCAGGGAAGGGGATGGGGGGGAGCAGGGAAGGGGATGGGGGGAAGCAGGGAAGGGGATGGGGGGAAGCAGGGAAGGGGATGGGGGGAAGCAGGGAAGGGGATGGGGGGAATCAGGGGGGGAACGGAGGAGAAGCAGGGGGGGAAATAGAGAGCAGAGGGGAAATTGATGGAAAAGCAGAGCGGGAATTGATGGGGAGCAGAAGGGGGAATGACGGGATTTATCGCAACCCGTCGTTCGCACCTAATCAGGGCGGCAGGGAGAATGAGTGGAAAGGCAAGGGGGGTGGGGGAAAGGAAAAGGGGTTGGGGAGGAGAGAACGGAGATAGGGAGGATGAACGCCGGCAAACAGGAGCGCATTTCCTGTCTCCACTCACCTCCCCTCCCATTTCCTCCCCTCCACATCCCACCTACCCCCTCCCCTCCCCCCCCTGCTCCTTCTCCCCGCCTCCACTCCAACCCGCCTCTCCCCCGCTCTCCTCCCGCTCCTTTCTCTCCCTCTTCCGCCGCCTCTCTCCCGCCCTTCCCCTCCTCTCTCCGCTCCTCCGCTCCCTACTTGCTCCTGCTTCGCTCCCTCTCCCACTCCCCCGCTCGGCCCCCATCCCCCCTGCAACCAGTCGACGGCAAGCTGGACGACCGAGTTTTGGGACATGTTTGGCGGCTTCGCGCCACTGGCTGCACTTGCGCTCGCAATCGCCCCACTCGTCCAGGCGCTGCTGCACTGTGCGCTGTTCTTGTGCTGTGCTGTATTACACGATGTGCTCTTCACCCTGCTACGCCAAGGACCTGCATTCATGCATGACCCCCTGCATGCACGCCCCCTCGTCGCGTCCCCTCCCGTCCCTCCCGTTTCCGCCCCGTACCGTCGCATCCCGCCCCTTCCGCGTGCTCCTCTTCCCTCCCTTCCATTTGCGTCCGGTCTCGTCGCATCCCGCCTTCCCGTCACGTCCCCTCCCGGCCCCTCGTCGAGATTCTTACCTTCCTGTGCCGTCCCGTCCCGTCCCTCTAGTCCCTTCCCGTCCAATCCTGTCCAGTCCCGTCGCTTCCCGTACTGTCCCGTCCTGCCCCATCGCGTCCCTTACCTGGCGCGCCTCATTACCTGGACATGGTTCACGATAAGCACGGGATGTACCCTGGTCGCCGCTGATACTGATAAATGAAGACCTAATTTCAAGTTTATAGGTCGGCCGTATATGCTGATCAACGAGAATCTAACTTTTGTGTAAGAGGTAACCGCGGTTGCTAGTGGAAAGAGTTTTACTCTTGAACCTGAGCCTAGTGCTAGTGCGAAATCGGGTTTCTGAGTTCTGTCAGTCTCATATTTTTCAGCTGTTGTAAATGCTTGATTCGTGCGACAACCTGGTCGCCGGTGGGGGAGTTTGGGCGATCGTGTTGTCGCCGTGCAGGTGTGTTTTCCAAACCTACCTGGGTGCACGATCGCATGATTGGTTTGGCACGTCCCTGCGCATACCGCCAAGCAAGTTTGTAGGTTCCCAACCAATCGTTTCAACCTGGGCCAACCTTCAGTGGAGTTGTGCGACAGTTTGAGGGTTACCGGATACCAAGCGTTTAACACTTGGTTGGGACACAGAAATATGAGACGCGAGCTTTAACAAAACAGTAGAGGCCAATCTCAGCGACACTGGGACGAGTAACATGTAGCGAAAAATAGGCGAAACCTTTGCCCAATCTCAGTGACACGAGCATTCCATAAAGGAGGCGAAAACTGTTGAAATCTCGTCAACTCTCGACTAGTTTCGCATGTGCGTTTGTATTTGAAAAAATTGTTCCCCAAGGTGTTCGCCAGCATTCTGTATCCAGCTTCGTTGAGCTTAATTTGTTCGCTTATCCCACAGCAGGCCTCCCAACTTTCCCTCCACCAAATTCGACCAAATTTCGCGGGTTGAAATTAGGGTTACTGTGTCAGAAATTCGAAAAGCAGTGTCAGATCTGATTGCTCGACAACCTCGCGCGTGTTTCCGTTTCATGCATCGACGGGGAATTTCTAGAGTATTCTAAACATAGCGGCTAGCCAGCATCAGACTGCTGATCTGAAATTGTTCGACAACCTCGCGTCGCGCGTGTTTTTATGCCTTGATCGTGATCTTCTAGATCCGGCCAACCGTAGCAGCCAGACACCATACCGGCTTCTGGTGTATTATTGCACGACAACCTCACGCGCGTTTTTGTGCCTTGATATGACTCGCGAGGGTTGTTTCCGTGCCTCGTTAGGCGCATTTCAGGGCCTTGCTAAGCGCGTTTTCGTGCCTCGCTTAGGCGCGTTTTCGTGCCTCCTGAGGCGCGTTTCCTGTAGATCATTCCATTCACAGCATGCAGACATCGTTGTTCATAAGAGACCACTGATTTACGTTCGGAATAACCAGAATATGTGACTGCTAGGGTCGAGCCTGGCTCGGTTCGTCACAAGCCGATGTGGCTCGACCCAAGCCCTTGAGTGGCTCGGGTATGATACCCAGCCACGAGCCAGGTGAGTTCACAAATCGGCTCGGCCTGGCTCGACTCGACTCGGCTCGAGGTTAAGGCGAGCCACTGCCGGCTCGAGTCAAGCCTGGCTCGACTCGTCCCGTGCTCATGTCTACACTCAGATCTACGTGTAATGAGACAACATTTAGTAGGACATTCTACTGAACAGCCATGAACAAACCCTAGGCTAATCTAAGTTGTTGAGAAGAGTCGTGGGCTGGAATGAAAAGTGGTTGCTCAACTGTCTCATATTATTCCTGCTGTGGTATTACGCTTGGTTCCCTGTGTTTCCTACCTTCGTCGCACAAGGTGTGGTGTTTCGTGCAAATGCAGTTCGGTAGTCGTGCATCTGCCTTCCCCAGCCTGTTGGGGCTGCAGCCAATCACAAGTGCTCCCAACCAAACCCAACAAAGTTGCGACTGCTTGAGTGGTTACCCGGTTTCAAGCGTATTACTCTTGGTTGGGCCTGGTGAAATATGAGACGCAAGCTTTTAACAGCAATGCGGACACCAGGAGTTACACCACGGGCAGTGGTGACAGCACCAACACTGGCGACCTAACCCCTAGCAGCAGTGCTTTCAGCAGCGGCGGCAGCAGTGGCAGCAGCGGCGGCAGCAGTGGCAGCAGCGGCGGCAGCGGTAGTGGCGGTGGGAACCGCCGGTCACCGTTCCTCGCCCATCTGCACCACGCTGCCACGCTTCGCTAGCGGCCGGCACGGGACGTCAGTGGAAGCGGTGGCAGCAATGGGGATGGCGATGGCATAGGCGACAGCTTAGGTCGCAGCAGCAGTGGCAGCACAAGTGACAGAGCAAGTGACAGCGCAAGCGACAGCGCAAGCAGCAGTGGGTGGGAGACAGCAGGGGTTGCACCTGGCAGGGGCAGTGGTGATGGCGTTGGAAGCGTTGCTGCTGCGGAGGGTGCTGGTTCCAGTGAAACTGTAGGTGCCGGTGGTGCCGATGCTGCCAGTGGTGGTGTTGGTGGCGCTGGTGGTGCCGGTGGTGCCGGTACTGCTGTCCACCCTGCTGCCGCTGCCCTGCAAGCACTCGCCCTCGTGTCGCTGCCGCCCCCCTTGGTTGTGCCGTCTATCGCAGCACCGCTGGTATCGGCGGCATCAGCAGCGCTGGCATCGCTGACAGCAGTACCGTCAGAATCAGTGGCATCATCAGAATCCCCGACCTCCCAACCAATCCCCGCCCTCACAATCCCCGCCCTCCCAGTCCCAGCCCTCACAGTCTCAGCCGTCTGTGCCACTGTCCTCCCTGTCACCAGCATCCCTACCAGCCCCCGCAACAGCATTACCAGCAGAAGCAGCAGCATCTGCCACGTCGTCAGGAGGACTACCATTAGCATCAGCTGCAGCAGCAGCGTCAGCAGCATCATCAGCACCACAAGCACAGTGCAGCACATCCCCCTCATCCCCCTTATTACCCGGAGGGGCGCTTTACATCCCCATGACCGCCATAAGCGGGTGGGCAGACCATCCCCCTCACCCCGGGGCCCCGCTGGTCAATGCCAGCCTGGCCGCTGACGTCATTGCTGACGTTGCAGCTGATGTGGCGAAGAGCGGGGGCATTCCCAGCGAGCCCTTGCTGGGCGCGTCGTGGAGTCCCGATGGCAGAAAGTATCTTCTGGCGCTCTGCTCCACTGGCGGGGTGAGTAGCACTCGATGCATGCGCGATGCCAAAGGGAAGGGAAAGTGACACACACTCGATGCACTAGCAGGCGGAGTGCTGCTCTGCTCCACTGGCGGGGTGAGAAGTGCTGCTCTGCTCTGCTCTGCTCTGCTCTTCTCGCCCTGCTCTGCTCTGCTCTGCTCTGCTTGCCCTGTTCTGCTCTGCATGCGTACTATCAAAGACGCGAAGGGAAGAGAAGTGCACGCGCGCTTGATGCACGAGCATGGTTCTCTCCCTCTGGCGCTCTGCTTCGCTCCCTGTGTGTCGAAGACAAGCTCTTGTCCACCTGCTCCCTTGCTTCGCAATCGCCCTTGCATGCACCCCTCCCATGCGTTTCTCAGTGCGTCCCTGCCTGTGTGCCGCCCCATGCAGATGTCCAACCATCTCTTCTGTCTGGACGCGCCTAAAGAGTGTTCCTCCTCTGCCCTGCTCCCCTCCCTGCGCCCATCCCTGCACCCCTCCATGCCCGCCTCCATGCCCGCCTCCATGCGCCCGTGCGGGTATGCCACCCATGCAGATGTCCAGCCATCTCTTCTGTCTGAGAGAGTTCGCTCTGCTCGCAGGCGCTCTCAACCGAACTCTTGTGGTGCCCATGGGGCCACACGAGGTATGCTCACTTGCCCTGCCCTTCCCTGCCCTGCCCTGCCCTCCCCTGCCCTAACCTGCTCTGCCTCATGTGATGGGGCATGTGATGGGGCATGTGATGGGGCATGTTATGGGGCATGTGATGGGGCATGTGATGGGGCATGTGATGGGGGATGTGATGGGGCATGTGATGGGCATGACCATGTTGGTGCAGCAAGACATACCCGTTGGACTTGTCTATCTAAGAAAGGCTTTCATTGATAGGTCCTGAGCCAAAAAATATTGATAGGACTGGTTTCGGGTCTGTAGCTGCCATTGCAGCTGTTGAACCAATATAGACATTGCTTCTATCCCTCCTTTCCTTTCCTCCCCTACCTCCTGTACCTTCTCTCCAGTTTTATCGCTAGTAGCAGCACCCCTCTCTCCCTCCCCTCTCTCCTCTCTTCCTTCCCTGCCGGCCATCCCTGCACCTCATTCCGCCTCCTCGCCCACTTCTCACTCCCGCCTATGTCTGTCGCCCTGGCCTCACCCCCACCCACGCACACCAGCTGACCCTGCTGCTCTCCCTCTTGTTCCACGTGCCCTTCCTGCGCCTTCCTGTGCAACAAACCACTCCTCTCCTCACCTCCATGCCGCGCCTCCTCCCTCTCTCTGTCCCTTTCCAGCCAACCCTGCCGCTGTCCCTCGTCTTCGACGTGCCCTTCCTTGTGCAGCAGAGAAATCACAGTGCTTTTTTCCACCTCCCTTCCCCCTTCTCGCCCGCTGCTCGCCCCCTCATGCACACCACCAGCTAACTCTGCCGCTCTCCCTCGTCTTCGACGTGTACAAGCAGTTCGTGAGTTACCCACCCGTGCTGCTGTTGCCGTGCCCCATGTCCCATGCCATGACATGTGTATGCCACCCGTGCTGCCCTTGTCCTGTCCTGCGCGCCTGCTATTGTCCCAAGACAGCCCTCACCCTCGACGAGTACAAGCAGTTCGTGAGTGCAGGCAGTGATGCTGTTGCCATGTCCCATGCAATGCCATGCCATGCCATGCCATGCCATGCCATGCCATCCGCGTCTCATCCCCGGGCAGGTGGGCAGGGGCAGCATGGAAGTGACCCACGTGCTGTGCCTTGTCAAGGGCTGCCACCTCGTGCCTGACGCTGGTGAGTGGGGCGCACCTGGGCTGGGGGCGCTGGTGATTGAGAGGGGGGAAGGGAGGGGGGGGGGGGGGAGGGGGAGGAGCAGGGTTCCCCCGGGGTGACTAGGCTGCACAGGGCAGCCCTTTCCCTCCTCGTGCGTGATGCTGGTTATGCGCACCATGCATGGATGGAGTGATGGGAACAGGGTAGGAGAGGGAAGGGAATTCGAGGGTTGCTTGGGGGTTGGAGAGGTGGGGGAAGGAAAGGGGCGTCGTTGCATTCTGGCAGAGGATAGCAAGTGAAATGAGAGGATAGCAAGTGAAATGAGAGGATAGCAAGTGAAATGAGAGGGTAGCAAGTGAAATGAGAGGATAGCAAGTGAAATGAGAGGATAGCAAGTGAAATGAGAGGATAGCAAGTGAAATGAGAGGATAGCAAGTGAAATGAGAGGATAGCAAGTGAAATGAGAGGGTAGCAAGTGAAATCAGAGCCAGGTGAAATGAGAGCCAGGTGGATGGAGAAAGAATTTGATTTGGCCCCAAAAATCAGCTTTTGAGGCGCCTCAAAAGTGGTGTGCGTAGTTGCATGATGCATTCTGCCAGAGGATAGTAAGTGAGAGCCAGGTGGATGGGGAAAATAGGAACGCTCTTTCCCTCTCTCTTTGTCTTCCCTTGTATCTTCCCACTTCCCGCTCTTCTGCCCTCTCACCTCCTTCCCTCCTTCCTTCCCTCCCTCCTTCCCTCCCTCCTTCCCTCCCTCCTTCCCTCCCTCCTTCCCTCCCTCCTTCCCTCCCTCCTTCCCTCCCTCCTTCCCTCCCTCCTTCCCTCCCTCCTTCCCTCCCTCCTTCCCTCCCTCCCTCCCTCCCTCCCTCCCTCCCTCCCTCCCTCCCTCCCTCCCTCCCTCCCTCCCTCCCTCCCTCTCTCCCTCTATGAGAGAGAAAACCCAATGGCAGCACCACCTTCTCTCATCCCCGTCCTTCTCCCCTTCCCTCCCCTCCCCCCCCCCCCCCCTCCCCCTTCTCCTCTCCCCCCTCATTGTTTTGTTTTGGTGTCACATTTTCGGTGGAGAGAGCGAGGGAGAGACAAGGTTAGCCTAGTCCTCTTCCCCCCCCATCCTCTTGAACCCGTCTCCCCTCTCTCTCTGTACCACACCTGGGGCAGCAGCACCAAGAGGGCAGTTCAAGGCGAGCAAGGGGCGCATCAGCCTGGCGAACGTGTTTGAGTCACCTGACCTGAGAAGTCGCCTCGATAGCGCCCACTCCACCTCCCTGCTGACCCTCTCCTCTCATACAGCACCAGGCGGGCAGTTCAAGGCGAGCAAGGGGCGCATCAGCCTAGCGAACGTTGCGGTGCCGGCAGTGGAGCAGTGGACGTGGTCGGGCCTGCCGGACAAACACTCGCTGCAAGGTGGGTTGGGCTGCAGTGTGGTGTGGCCACCGTACCCGGGGCGGTGCCGGCAGTGGAGCAGTGGGCGTGGTCGGGCCTGCCAGACAAGCACTCGCTGCAAGGTGGGCTGGTGGCGTTTAGCGTTGCATGCTGGGCTGGGCTGGGCTGGGCTGAGCTGGGCTGGGCTGGGCTGGGCTAGGCTGGGCTGCCGTGTTGCATGGGAACTGGAGCTGGGCTCGAGTGTAGTGTGGGCGTGGTCTGGCCTGCCAGACAAACACACGCTGCAAGGTGGGCTGGACTGCACTGCTCTATGCTGGGCTGGGCTGGGCTGTGTGCCTCTAGTGCGTGCTGTGTGCCTCTAGCGCCTGCTGTACCTGCAATGGTGCAATTGAGGAGATCTGGTGTGCCAAGCAGACATTGTCGCAGCCTGTGCAGTGGTGTGGTGTGGTGTGGTGTGGTGTGTGGTGTGGTGTGGTGTGGTGTGCTGTGATGCAATGGGGTTGGGAAATGCTGGTGCGACGTGCTATGGTGTGGTGTTGTCTGGTGGCGTATGAACCAATCGGACGTGGCATGTTCGCAAAGAGGCCTTTGTGATGTGTCGCACTCATGTGAGCTCTGAGCACCGCTCTTGAACCTCGTCACGTGCTTCCCTCTCCCTTTTCAACATGCATTACCATGCCATGCCATACCATGCCATCCCATCCCAACTGCACCCCTATCAACCGCACCCCTCTCAACCACAACCCTCTCAACCTCTCCTGGCAGCGTTTCTCAAGGTTTACAGCCGAGTGCCAGATGGTGTGCTGGTGATTGGCGAGTTCAAGAAGGTGTGTGTCTCTGTCTCTCTCTGTGAGACCAGTGTGCCTGCTGATACCACCTGATATGCCCCATGATGCCACCTGATATGCCCCATGATGCCACCTGATATGCCCCATGATGTCACCTGATATGCCCCATGATGCCACCTGATATGCCCCATGATGCCACCTGATATGCCCCATGATGCCACCTGATATGCCCCATGATGCCACCTGATATGCCCCATGATGCCACCTGATATGCCCCATGATGCCACCTGATATGCCTCATGATGCCACCTGATATGCCCCATGATGCCACCTGATATGCCCCATGATGCCACCTGATATGCCCCATGATGCCACCTGATATGCCCCATGATGCCACCTGCTGATGCCAGCCACCTGCTGATGCCTACTTAAAACCCTGTATTCTTCCTCCCTCCCTACCCCGCACCCCCCTTCTTCCCCCACCAGCAAACCCATCACGGATTCTGTCTTCTTCTGCATGCTCGCCCCAATGGACCTCCCATCCCTGCTCCCTCGGTCCCTTAACCTTTTTCTATTCCTTCCACCATGCCCTCCCCCCATACCTCCCCCCCCCCCCTCTTCCTCCCCTTCCCCAGCAACCCATCACGGATTCCATCTACTTTCACATGCTCTCCCCCATGGACCTCCCGTTCCCTGCTCTGTGTCCTCTTCCCTTCCATGCATTCTCACACATGTCCCCCTCTCCTCCCCACCGCCTGCCCTCTCCCCCTTCTCCCTCCAGCAACCCATCACGGATCCCATCTTCTTTCGCATGCTCGCCCCCATGGACCTCCCGTTCCTGCTGCCCCCACCATCGGGCAAGCAGAGGGGGAAGCCTAAGCCTGCCAAGGTGGTGCCGCGAGACACATGCCTCGCGTCTCCCGCCATCCGGGTGAGAGATTGCCGCCCAGATGAGAGATTGCCGCCCAGATGAGAGATTGCCGCCCAGAAGGGAGATTGCCGCCCAGATGGGAGATTGCCGTCCAGATGGGAGATTGCCGCCCAGATGGGAGATAGCCGCCCTGGTGAGAGGGAGATTGCTATTCGAAGCATTGGAGCATCTCCCTCTCACCAAATCCAATGCTATTCGATAGCCAATGCTAAGCATTGGAGCATTGGAGCCAAATCCAATGTTAAGCATTTGCTGGTAACAAATCCAGCCCCAACCCACTTCCACAGCCCCCTGAGCGACTGGTGGTAGCAGCACAGCACGGCACATAGCGCAGCACCATCTGCTCAACGACCGATTCCCGCTCTTCCTCCGCGTCTCTTTCCATGTGCTTCCTCTCTCTCCCTTCTCTCCCTCCCGCCCATTTTCGTTCTTTCTACACACACACTCTCCCCTCTCCCATTCCCACAGCCCCCTGAGCCGCTGATAGCAGCAGCGCGGCACATAGTGCAAAACCACCTGTTCAACGGCCGGCCGGTTCCTGGCAGTGCAATTCAGGAGGGGGGACTTCAAGGACTAGTGCCGCAAGAAGGTATAAATCGTACGACTTGGTGAGTTTTGAGTCGACTCAAAAGTCGCCTGGTTCATGGCTGTGCAATTCAGGAGGGGGGACTTCAAGGACTACTGCCGCAAGAAGGTACGACATGTCCCATCCCACCCCATCCCATCCCACCCCATCAGATCCTATCCTGTCCCGTCCCATGCCAATCCATCCCGTCCCGTCCCGTCCCGTCCCATCCCATCCCATCCCATCCCATCCCATCCCATCCCATCCCATCCCATCTTATCCCATCCCATCCCATCCCATCCCAACTTATCCCATCCCATCCCATCCCATCCCATCCCATCCCATCCCATCCCATCCCATCCCATTCCATCCCATCTTATCCCATCCCATCCCATCGCATCCCATCCCATCCCATCCCATCCCATCCCATTCCATCCCATCTGATCCCATCCCATCCCATCCCATCCCATCCCATCCTTAGTTGCAAAAGACGCGTCCTGCGTCTAAGACGTTGGCGTCCAGACGCAGCGTCTTAGACGCAGGACGCTTCATGAGAGCTTGGGAGACGCTGAAAAAGACGCATCCCCGGGTAGGGCAAAAAAAACCACCGGGCAGCCAAAAAAACCATGTTATAGGGCATGGGAAGGGGCGGGGGAACGACGTTGCACACATTTGAGGCAAAATTATTCCCTCCAAATTTTCAGGGTTCAGGGTTTACGAAGGAGAATTGTGTTGGTAAACCCGCTAGGGTGTTTTTGATGGTCGAAATGGGTTAGGGGAGGTAGACTTGACGCGAAATTGACAGTCGCGTCGAAATCGCAAATGTCAATTTCGCGCTGGGGCAAAACAAAAAAAATCGGTCAGCCCCAAAAATAACCGCCGTGCGTCCTGCGTCTGGACACGCGTCTAGCGTCCCTGCGTCCGGACGCTGCGTCCAGACGCAGGACGCATGACGCGGCCAGCGTCTTTTGCAATCCCATCCCATCCCATCCCATCCCATCCCATCCCATCCTATCCAATCCTGTCCCATCCCCTCCCGTCTTGTCCCGTCCCACCCCATCCCATCCCATCCCATCCCATCGCATCCCATCACATCCCATCCCATCCTGTCCCATCCCCTCCCGTCTTGTCCCGTCCCACCCCACCCCATCCCATCCCATCCCATCCCATCCCATCCCATCCCATCCCATCCCATCTCTGACATTCCTCGCTCCAGTCCCTCTCTCGCTCTCGCCCACCCTCCCACCAGCACCCATCGGACGGCTGTTTCCTGCCAGTCGACCAAGCAGCACAGTGCATGCGTGCTGCAGCCATCGCAGCCCGTGTCCCCCTCATCTTCCTTGCCACCAACGCCCACTCCATCAATCTACCATCACGCCCCTTACTCCGTTCTCTCTCTCTCCCCTCCCCACTCACCCTTTCCCCCACCCCAATCCCACCCCTCCCACCAGCATCCATCGGACGGATGTTTCCTCCCAATCGACCAGGCAGCACAGTGCATGTGCACAGCTGCTATCGCAGCGCGTGTCCCTCTTGTCTTCCTCGCCACCAATGCCCAGCCACACGAAGTAGCAGCCATTGCAGCAACGCTTCTTGAGGCTCCTCAACAACAGCCATAGGCGGTGGCAGCTACAGCTGCTACGAGTTTCTGAGGCACACGAGGTGGCCTCTGCCACTGCTGCTACGGCTGCTACGGCTGCAGTGGAGCAGGAACAGCCGGCGCCTGAGTCACTTGAGAGAAGAAGAGTGTTGAGTAAACTCGCAGATGAGCTCGAGAGCAGAGGACAGCTCTGAGTGTAGGGCCCACCAAGTAGCGCTACCCCACCCGTCGCGCCGACGTGATCGCGCCCTGCCCTGCCCTGCCCTGCGTCGCGCTGCCTGCGCACGCCCTGCCCTGCCCGCGCGCCGCCCGCTGCAGCCCGCTCTGCTTTGCCCGCGCGCTGCCTGCTGCAGCGCGCCCTGCTTGCCCGTGCGCCGTCACGCCGCCTTGCCCGCGCGCCCTGCTGGCCCGCGCGCCGCCTGCCGCAGCGCGCCCTGCCCTGCCCACGCGTCGCGCCGCCGTGCGCTCTGCCCTACCCGCGCGGCGCGCCGTCCTGCCTTGCCCGCGCGCCGCGCCGCCGCGCGCCCTGCCCTACCGCACGCCATGCCCTGCCGCGTGCCGCTCGCTGCTGAATCGCTCTGCGCCGCCCTGCCTAGCCCTGCCTGCGTGCTGCTCTGCTGCTAGCACGCCCGACCGCTCTGCCCGCAATGGCCACGCTCAATGTCCTCACGTTCGATCCGGAAGGCCGCCCGATAGAGTTCGATGCGTGGCTCAACGACTTACAGCTGTTCTTACTGAGCGATTCCAAGGACGGAGTTTCACTGTTTGACCTCACGTCTGGCACCTCTCTCGCCCCTGCCACCACGGCTGACAGTACGACTCGCTCACAGTGCCTTACTCATGACGCTGCTGCTTGCCTAGCCGTTCGGACAGCATAAGATAGCGAAAGCACTGTACGACGCTGTAGACGCTCGTTACTCCTCCCCGGCCACTGCTGCTCTATGCCGCCTTCTCCTGCCCTACCTGTTCCCAGAGCTGTCCGCCTTTCCACAGTAGCCGACCTCGTCACTCACCTTCGCACTAGTGACACTCGCTACCGTGCTACGCTTCCCGCCGAGTTTCTCACCAAGAACCCTCCTCCCATGTACATCACTCTCTACTTCATAGTCACCCGCCTCCTTGACTCTCTTAGCGCTGTCAGGGACCTCCTTCTAGCCCTTGATCCCACCAACCTCACTGTCGACCTGCTCGAGAAGCACCTCCTTGCAGCTGAGACTAGCATAGTCGCTGTAGGCGCTTCTCGTGGCACTCCTCGCACTCCCTTCTTTGAGGGGTGTTCGCCCTCCCCCCTCCTCCCCTCAGTCGCCTCTGCTGCAGCTGATGACTACCTTCGTGCTGAGGAGGTAGGAGCTGCGTCTGCCTCTAGTGGGAGGCGCCGCAGCGGCAGGGGCGGTGGGAGCGGCAGAGGTGGAGGCGGTGGTGGGGGGGGTGGAGGCGGTGGAGGGGGTGGCGGTGGCGGAGGGAGTGGTGGTGGGGGTGGAGGTGTAGGTGGCGGCGGTGGTGGCGGCAGTGGCGGTAGAGGCGGCGGCAGTGGTGGCGGCAGTGGCGGTAGTGGCGGCGGCAGTGGTGGCGGCAGTGGGAGTGGAGGCGGTGGCAGTGGTGGCGGCCGGGGTGGTACCAGTCAGAGGGGAGGCCTTGACGGTGGTCAGAGGCAGCAGCAGCAGCGTCAGCTCTCGCCCCAGGAGCTACGTTAGAGGTTTGCTCAGCGTGGGGCGGCTGGGGGTAGTGGTCCCTGCCCGTATGTCATTCGCACAGGTGACCGCACTGGTCAGACATGCGGGAAGCTCCACACCCAGTACCACTGCTTCTCTCGTCTTACCGACGCCTTCCGCGCAGAGTTTCTCGACGCGGCTGAGCTTCCCCGCTGGGCAGAGCTACTTAGGCAGGTTGTAGACATCTATGCTCTTGATTATGATGCTACCATTTCTCCTATGTATGCATTGAGTGTTAGTGCTGAGGGTGACTGTTACCTGTGTATGCCGCCAAACCCAGGTATAGAGGCTGCTGCTCTAGATGCTAGTGAGTCTGCTGCTCTAGGTGCTGGTGAGTCTGCTCTCTCTGGTACTGCGTCTGCTGCGGCCTTGCACACCTTCACGTTTGACTCAGGTGCTTCCTTCTGTTTCTTTCGCGACAGTACCACAGTGACACCGCTCTCTGCACCTGTTGCTGTCTCTCTTGCTGACCCCTCTGGGGGCCCAGTCCTTGCACGTTCCTCCACTGTTCTGCCTTGTCCGTCGGTTCCGTCTGGATCACTATCAGGTCTCCACCTCCCCTTGTTCTCTACGAAGTTGGTGAGCAACGCTGTCCTTCAGGATGAGTGGGTTGATACCTTCACCCCTGGAGGACAGCGTGTGGCGATTTGTACGTGCTCCCGGATTGGCAGGCACCTGGCCACGTTCACCCGTCGGCCAGGGTCGAGTCTGTACACACTGACTACTGAGCCTCCTGAGGTAGCTGCGTCCGCGTCTGCGTCAGGTCAGCTAGCGGCCCCCTGCTCGTGCCGCGCCCTGTCGCACCAGACGCTCCTTTGGCACCACCGCCTTGGTCACCCCTCCGTGGCATGCACTCGCGTCTCCTTGTCTCTGGTCTTCCCAGGTCTCTGCCACCCCTCCCAACCTTGCCTGCCCCTCCTTGCCTTCCTTGTGTCGAGGGGCGGCAGCGCGCCACTCCTCACTCCTCCTCGTTCCCCCCGACGTCTGCTCCCCTGCAGACTCTCCACATGGACGTGTGGGGCCCAGCCTGCGTCCGTGGACAGGGCCACGAGCGGTAATTTCTGCTGGTTGTCGACGACTACACGCGTTACACCACGGTCTTCCCCTTGCGCCTCAAAGGGGAGGTCCCTGATGTTTTGATCCCTTGGATCCGCGCTATTCTTCTCCTGCTCCGTGAGCGGTTCGAGACGGACCTTCCCGTCTTGCGTCTGCACTCTGACAGAGGTGGTGAGTTTTCCTCCGACCTCTTATGGGACTTTTGTCTTGGGGAGGGCATTCTCCAGACGTTCACGCTTCAGGCCTCTCCGCAGCAGAATGGGGTTGCTGAGCGCCGCATTGGCTTAGTCATGGAGGTCGCTCGTACCTCCATGATCCATGCGGCTGCCCCCCATTTTCTGTGGCCGTTTGCGGTCCGCTACGCTGCGCATCAGCTCAACCTCTGGCCCCATGTCTCCTTGCCAGGGACCTCGCCGACACTGCGTTGGACGAGAGAGGTTGGCGATGCGTCGGTGTTACGGGTCTTGGGATGCCGTGCCTTTGTCCGCGATTCTTCCGCGGACAAGCTCTCATCCCGCGCCGTTCCCTGTGTCTTCCTTGGCTTCCCCCCTGACGCGCCTGGCTGGCAGTTTTACCACCCCACCTCGCGCCGTGTCCTGCCCTCTCAGGACGTTACGTTTGACGAGTCGGTTCCCTTTTACCGTCTCTTCCCCTACCGCACTGCCCCTCTCCCTCCCTCGCCACTCTTCCTTGCACCAGGTCCTCCTCCGGTAGACCCCCTCCCCCTCAGGGTCCTACTCCCTCAGGTGTGTCCCAAGTAGACCCTGTCGAGCATGTTGAGGTAGCTGTCGACTCTGGTGCTGCTAGGGGTGACGAGCCTGGGGGTGCTGAGCCTGGGGGTGCTGAGCCTGGGGGTGCTGAGCCTGGGGGTGCTGAGCCTGGGGGTGCTGAGCCTGAGCGTGCGGAGCCTGGGGGTGCTGATCCTGGGGGTGCTGAGCTTGGGGGTGCTGAGCCTGAGGGTGCTGAGCCTAAGCGTGCTGCGCCTGGAGGTCCTTTGTCTTCTGGAGCTCCTCCAGGTGTCTTGTCACGGCAGGAGCCACTCTCTACACCGCAGCTGCGCGAGTGGTTTGCTCGGCGCTGGAGCCTCTGAAGTGGCACTGCTGGAGTTGGAGGTGCTGCTCGAGCTGGAGCTGCTGGAGGTGCTGGAGCCGCTTGTCCCGGAGGTACTCGTACTGGAGGCACTGGAGCTGCTAGAGCTGGAGGTGCTGCTGGAGCTGGAGCTGCTGGAGTTACTGGAGCCGCTGGTCCCGGAGTTGCTCGTAGTGGAGGTACTAGAGCTGCTGGAGCTGGAGGTGCTGCCGGAGTTGGAGCTGGAGCTGGTGGAGTTGCTGGAGCCACTGGTCCCGGAGGTGCTCATACTGGAGGTACTGGAGCTGCTGGAGCTGGTGGTGCTGCGGGCGTTGGAGCCGGAGGTGCTGGAGCTGCTGGTCCTGGAGGTGCTCGTACTGGAGGTACTGGAGCTGGTGGAGCTGGTGGTGCTGCAGGAGTTGGAGCTGGAGGTGCTGGAGCTTCTGGTTCTAGAGTCACTCGTACAGGAGGTACTGGAGCTGCTGGAGCTGGAGCTGCTGGAGGTGCTGGAGCTGGTGGTACTGCAGGCGCTGGAGCTGGAGACCCTGGTGTCACGAGACTAGCTTAGCTGGTAACCGGGTTTAAGAAGGGCCTAGGCTTAGTAGCCTAGGCCAAGGGTATCGTGAGTAGCTTGTGCCAAGGAGGAATGTCGAGAATGTGTGTCTTCACTATAGGTTTGCAAAAACATATAGCAAAGAAACAAAGAGGTGCACCACCACAACAAAGAAACATAACTACACTAAAGCTAAAGCTACAGGCAGTTATAAACATATATAAATATATATCGCGACACACCCCCTTAACTGCCTGCAGCACATAGCTAGAGCAAGTCACACCCCCTGAAGGGGCAGGTGCGGTGGGAGACGGCAGAGGGGTACGTGAGGAGGAGGAGGCAAGAGGAAGAGAGGAGAGGAGAATAGATAAGAACACAGGAGGAGGTGAGTGGGGGATGAGGAGAGGAGGTGGGGGGTGGCCGCAGCGTCCCCTCTTACTAACCCCCTTTTACGAAAGGGGGGGTTGAGTGGGGGATGAGGAGAAGAGGTGGGGGGGTGGCCGCAGCGTCCCCTCTTACTAACCCCCACATCCCCACCCCCAACCAACCACCCGCCCTCAACCTCACCCCCCATTTCAGTCGCCCCCTGGAACCGCACTCCCTCCACCCCTGTCTTCCTCCATACCTCTCCCAACCCACGATGGTCCCTGTACAGTCTTTCACAGGTGGGCTGCTGGGCACAGGTGGGGCTGCTGGTCACAGGTGGGGCTGCTGGTCACAGGTGGGGCTGCTGGTCACAGGTGGGGCTGCTGGTCACAGGTGGGGCTGCTGGTCACAGGTGGGGCTGCTGGTCACAGGTAGGGCTGCTGGTCACAGGTGGGGCTGCTGGTCACAGGTGGGGCTGCTGGTCACAGGTGGGGCTGCTGGTCACAGGTGGGGCTGCTGGTCATAGGTGGGGCTGCTGGTCACAGGTGGGGCTGCTGGTCACAGGTGGGGCTGCTGGTCACAGGTGGGGTTGCTGGTGCTGGTGCTGGCGGCTGGCGCTGGTGCTGGTTCCTGGTGCTGGCAGCTGGCACTGGGGCTGGTTCCTGATGCTGGCGGCTGGCGCTGGGGCTGGTTCCTGGTGCTGGCGGCTGGCGCTGGTGCTGGTTCCTGGTGCTGGCGGCTGGCACTGGGGCTGGTTCCTGGTGCTGGCGGCCGGCGCTGGGGCTGGTTCCTGGTGCTGGCGACTGGCGCTGGGGCTGGTTCCTGGTGCTGGCGGCTGGCGCTGGGGCTGGTTCCTGGTGCTGGCGGCTGGCGCTGGGGCTGGTTCCTGGTGCTGGCGGCTGGCGCTGGGGCTGGTTCCTGGTGCTGGCGGCTGGCGCTGGGGCTGGTTCCTGGTGCTGGCGGCTGGCGCTGGTGCTGGTTCCTGGTGCTGGCGGCTGGCGCTGGTGCTGTTCCGCCACCACTCCCTTCCCCTCCTCTCTCTCCTTTCCACAGCGTCCCACCGCCACTCCCTTCCCCTCCTCCCTCTCCTCCCCATGGCGACCGCCGCTGCACACGCAAACAATCGCGACGGGGGGGGGGGGGGGGTGACGGGCAGGGGGCGGGGGGAATGCGACGGGCAGAGCGGGCGAATGAGCAGCTGGGGCGATAGCCAGTGCTCTGGCGATCGTCGCTGGCGTTCCCCCGTCACTCCTATCCCCTCTTCCCTCTCGCCCCCACAGAGTTCCGCCGCCACTCCCATCCCTTCTTCCCTCTCCCCCCCACAGCGACCGCCGGTGCGACAGACGAGGTGCAAGGTGGCGCTGGCTGCAGTCGATGGCGCAAACGCGATCGCGGGCCGCTGGCGACTTCGCTGGCGACTTTGCTGGCGGGTCGCTGGCGGCGGGTCCGCTGGCGTTCGCCATAGCGTCCGCCGCGCCCGTCGCGCTGAGAGCCGCGACGAGGCAGGCGACGGGGGGCAGCGCGAGCAGCAGGGAAAAAAAAAAGATACGCAAGGTGCGGATTTCGCGCCACTAACTGTAGCAGTCGCGAAATGTGGTGGGCCCATAAACGAAATAGGTCCTAGGACGGACCACTCTGTTACCATGTCACGAGACTAGCTTAGCTGGTAACCGGGTTTAAGAAGGGCCTAGGCTTAGTAGCCTAGGCCAAGGGTATCGTGAGTAGCTTGTGCCAAGGAGGAATGTCGAGAATGTGTGTCTTCACTATAGGTTTGCAAGAACATATAGCAAAGAAACAAAGAGGTGCACCACCACAACAAAGAAACATAACTACACTAAAGCTAAAGCTACAGGCAGTTATAAACATATATAAATATATATCGCGACACCTGGAGCTGGGGGTACTGGTGCTGTCGGTGCTGGTTCTGGAGGCGCTGTGCTGCCGCTACCGTACTTCGTTCCACTGCTTAAGCAGGTTCTTGGTCTCTCGCCTTCTACTGGCCCTACTCCTCCCTTAATGTGTCCACCGCCTGACCAGTCGAAGTCGCAGTTACAGCCAGCCTCCCCACTGCCTGGTCCTTCTCCTTACGCTGGGCCAACAGGAGGTCTTACGGAGCGTCGTGAGCCTGATTCTCGTCCTGTGTCGCCTGTTCGCGCTGTTCGCACTGGTCGTCGTGTTCCACGTCCGCGTCCTCCTCCTGTCCCAGGCATGCACCAGATGGCACTTCGTCCTTCCTATGTTCCACAGCGTGTCCCTCTGCCGTCTCTTCCTACGTTCTCTCTTCCTGACGTCCCTAACCCGCCGTCCGACCTTGCTCGTGCTGCCAGTCCTACTGTCACACGTCTTCTAGCCACTGTGGTCACTGACCCTTCGTTTGAGTCCACTGCTGCGTCTGCCCTTGTTGCTGAGCTTGTTGACTTTGCTGCCGCCTGTCGCCTCGACTAAGCCGCTAGTCTTGTTGCTGAGTCTGAGTCTGTCTGTCCTCCGTCCGTAGGGGGTGAGTGTGCTCTTGGGACGGACGTCCTTGAGGACAAGCAGGAGGACTTTGAGTGCTTTGTAGCTACTGTACCTCATCTTGTGTCCATGCTGATTGCACCAGGCATCCTGACCCCGCGCTCTTACGCAGAGGCCATAGAGGGTCCGTACTCCTCTCAGTGGCAAACAGCCATGGACCCAGAGATGGCATCCTGGAAGTCTACAGGCGCCTACATCGACGAGGTTCCCCCACCTGGGGCGAAAATCGTCAGTGGCATGTGGATTTTCAGGGTGAAGCGGCCACCGGGTTCTCCGCCTGTCTTTAAGGCGTGTTACGTTGCACGAGGCTTCAGTCAGCGACACGGAGTTGACTTCTTTCAGACCCTCTCCCCTACCCCAAAGATGACCACTCTTCGGGTGCTGCTGCACGTCGCCGCTCAGCGTGACTACGAGCTTCACTCTCTTGACATCAACAAAGCCTTCCTAGAGGGCAGTCTGCACGAGGAGATCTGGCTGTGCCACCCACCTAGCTTCACTGGGTCGTTTCCTGCAGGTACCCAGTGGAGCCTCCGGCGTCCAGTCTACGGTCTCCGTCAGGCGCCTCGCGAGTGGCACGACACACTGAGGACGCCGCTTGCGGCTCTTGGGTTTGCTCTTTCGACTGCTGACCCGTCGCTGTTTCTACGCACCGACACTTCTCTGTTGCCGTTCTACATCCTCGTGTACGTCGACGACTTGGTCTTTGCCACTGCTGACACTGCTGGACTGGCCTTTGTAAAGTCAGAGCTGCAGAAGAGACACACGTGCACAGATGCGGTGAATTGCGCAGCTATCTTGGCTTGCATATCACCCGGGACAGAGCACAGTGCACCATTACCTTGACTCAGTCACACATGGTGCAGCAGGTCCTTCAGCGTTTCGGCTTCGCGTTCTCCTCGCCACAGTCCACTCCTCTGCCTAATGGTTACTCGCTCTCAGCTCTGCGTTTGGATGAGTCCGTAGAGCCGAGTGGCCCGTATCCAGAGCTTATGGGCTGCCTCATGTACCTGATGACCTGCACTCAACCTGACCATGCCTACCCTCTTAGCATCCTGGCACGCTACGTTGCGCCCGGGAGACACCGACCAGTGCACTGGGAGGCCGCTAAGAGGGCGTTGCGCTACTTGTTCAGTACGCCGGGCATGGGGCTCGTGCTTGGAGGACGGGCTCGAGTTGTCCTCACTGGTCACGCAGACGCTTCTTGGCTTGATGACCTGGCTACGCAGCGGTCGTCACAGGGTTACACTTTCAGCCTTGGCTCCGGCTCTGTTCGTGGCGGTCTACCCGCTTGTCTTCTGTTCTCAGTTTCAATTGTGAGGCTAAGATCTACGCAGGGGCCATGGCTGCACAGGAGCTACGCTGGCTCACCTACCTACTGGTCGACTTGGGTGAGCGGCCTCGTTCTCCTTCAGTTCTGTACGTCGACAACAAGGCCCTGATTGCCTTGTGTCAGGAGCACAGACAGGAGCACAGGACGAAGCACATCGCTCTGCGTTTCTTCCTTGCTCGAGAGTTGCAGCAGGGTGGACAGCTTCATCTTGCTTATGTGGCCTCTCGGGCCAACACTGCTGATATCTTCACTTAGGCACTTCAGCCTTGTGATCATCAGCGTTTCTGTACTGTTCTAGGCCTTGTGCCTACTTGGCCTCACTTGCTCACTTCTTGACTTTGCTTGTACTGTGATCTATATGCTTATGCCTGCATGCTTACACTTGCTAGGTTGTGATCACTGTACTGCTTGTTCTGCATTATATAACTCTGCATGTGAACTGGCCTTGTGGCCTTTTGCTTGTGCTCAGAATGCGTGGTGACTTCGTGATCCACCCTGAGCTTGCTTTGCTTTTCTTGACTGGTCTTGTGACCTCTTGTTCTCCCCCACTGTGCCTATGGGGGTGTGTCAAACTTATATGCTATATCTTGTGTAGGCTGTAGTGGGGTAGCCCATATGGGGTACAACCCAATTAGGTTTAGTACTTGTACCCATCTTGCTGTTAGTCAATTCATTCTCGCTTATTCTTATGACAATGCGCGACGATTTGGCGAGCTTAACGAGACGATGTAACCTATTCGCAGGCCTCGCCAAGATCCCCTACCCCATGCAATCAAGTGATCGTGACTGATTGTGTGTGATTGTGATTGATTGAGGTGTTTGATGTGTTATAGTCTAGAGTCCACTTAGGGGTCGTAGATGCCCTTGAAACCACCTAAGCAGAATCTGATGACTTCGAACCGCCTCTGTTCAAAACGCCGTCACGATCAGCTCCGATAACAAACGAGGCTGAAACTTGAACAGACGTTAGCTTCAGGTGTCTGCTTTCCAACGGTATATTGCTTGCTTTCATCAGAGGTGTATGCGCTACGCAGTGAACAAAAACGTAAGCTCGGCTGAAAAACGAGTAGCTTCATTGATGCAAGGAAGAGGTTGAGTACAACATTGCCTAGGGGACTCTTAAGGGGTTGGGACCATCCTGGGAACTCAGAGAAGGTCGAGTCCTAGGGGAGAAAGGCTAGAGAAGGATGGGAAACGTCCTAGCTAGGTCAGCAAAGCCAACCACACTTGGATGTTCAGAGCTGTACTCAAGGCTACCAATAGTGAGTCAAGCCAACCATGAGTCAGCTTGTCTTCCCACTTGCACCCTTTTGCAAGCTGCTACCAGGAAGACCACACTTCTCAAAAGGAGGGTGGTAGAGTCCCACTTGACCACCTGTACTTCTTGTCTCATTCTCTGTCCCTGCACCATTGGCATGACAACAATGAAAGGGTGGCAAGGGAAATGCTGCCAACAGTGCACCATGACTACGGAACAGTAACTTTCGACAGCTGTCACGTGCTGCTCCGATGCTGGGTTGTCCTGAAACTCGGTGACCACCTGCACAACATGGCAAAGGACTGCCACACCGATTTTGAGACCAATCAGATCTCGGTAGATGAGTCAGCAACCGAAATGGTGAACTCGGGTGTTACCAAAAAAGAGTAACACACACTTCCGGGATGCCATAAGTCTTGAAACTAAAAAATGTTGCCATGCCTTGTAAACTGCTTCAAAAATTCTGAAACTTTGAGGGTTTGAAGAACACATGTTGAAGCACCACCCCACAAAATTCCAGAAGCTGAGCAGGCTTGTAGGCTGAACGGGAGTGCGATGACCGTGACACTATAGTACTTTGGCACAACAAACTCCCCCTCATCGTGCTCTCATTCATCCCTTAGCTGCTCCCTGAAGCTGCCTCCTTTAGTTGAAGGACATGCCACACAAGGTGGCACAGCTCCAATGCTGATGCTCTGCAAGCCGCTTAGTCAAGAAATCCGCAGGTTGCTTGGTAGTGTTGATGTAGTGCAAGGAGATGGTGCCCTTCTTCACCTCCTTCCTCACCCAATGCCACTTGATATGCATGTGCTTGTTCAGCCCATGGAGCACAGCATTACGCGCCATTGCAATTGCTCCTTGGCTGTCACAAAACACAGGTGTAGGACCCTCTTGCTCCTGCCCCAACTCCTCAAGCAACCTCCTCATCCAAACCACCTCCTTCACTCCATGAAACAACGCCATGTACTCACTCTCCGTTGATGAGTGAGCTATCTCTCCTTGCTTCTTAGACTTCCAACTCACTGGACTCCCTCCAACACAGCATATATAGCCACCATGGGATGTAGCATCACTGATGTCACTTGCCCAGGTAGCATCGGTGAAACACGAGAGGTACAAATGCCCACGCCTTGCAGGTGCACCAGTCTTTGTGCTCACCTCCTCCACTCCCTTTTGCTTCAGCTGCCCATGCACTGAATATTGCAGCCCCACCCTTGAGGTTGCCATGCAGTACCTCACCAGCCTCTCTGCTGCATCCAGGTGCTCTTGAAGGGGCCTAGACACCACACGAGCGAGCTGTGAAACTGAAAACGCAATGTCGGGGCGAGTGTTGACCGAAGCGTACATCAAGCTCCCCACCATT